CCCCCCCCCCCCCCCCCCCTCCCCCCAACAGCAGCCATAGCACCCGATACCCGCCTTCAATTAATTCGACACGCGGTTTCGCGCACGAATCATTTCAAGCAGACAGACAGATACGTACTGTACCGTGAGAGCGGAGACAAGAAACAAAACAAGGAACGAAGAGATCAAAACAAGAAAAACATCAAAAGGCCAATGCCTCCAAATCATGGCACACGACACGCCGAAGTAGTCGCTCCTCTCTCCATATTGGCCCCATCATGAAACAGAAACGATAAAAAAGCCCACAAGTCCATGACAACCCTTCCCGAATGCACGCCCAAGGGTCACGCAAGGGAGGAAGTCAATCGAGCAGCACTAGCGTCCGGATGTAGTTCACTTGCATCAGCACCATCACAGATGAACGCGTGCGTGCATCGCGGACACGGGACAAAAGTCGCGCTCTAAAATGTTGCTCTCCCCCTCTCTCGCCGAAAAACAAACGTTCTCTTCCAAACTATTCAAGGGAAAGAAACCCCTTTCCCTCCGCCTCCCAGTTCTAAATCAACACCCGGTGTGGATGATGGAAATTGTCCACCCTGAAAGGGCGGAATCTTTAAAAAGAATGGGATTATACACAAGCGACAAGGAGAAATAAAAATGACAGCTATGAGCCCCTCTCAAAACACAAGGTGCGGGAGCAGTTACCAGTATAGCGCGCGCTACTATTTACTTTACGCTTGGCCTCAATCGGGAGGTGCTGCCAGCCGGCCGTCAAATCCTGTCCCTTTTTTTTCTCGTCAGTCCACAAGAGGAAAAAAAGGGAGGCGAGAGGAGCCGGCGCAAGCCTCCGGAGGTCGCGCGCGCGCGCGTGGGTGTCATGGCCGGGCAGGGGGCGGGGGCCGTTCGTGCACACACACACACACACACGGGCCAACGTCCCGCGAGATGTGTCACATGTCACCACCGAAGGTCCTCATTAAACCTCCCGCGCCGCGCGCCCCCCCGCTCTCCTTGGATCATGCCAACGGCGCCGCCTGTACGTACACGCCATTGCTGTCCATGTTGAGGTTGGTGTGCGTCCGGATCACCCGGAGAGAGGACCCCGCGTCTGGCTTGAACGTCGCCACCGACCGCGCGGCCACGAAGACGACCACGCCCGGGCGGAGGACCGTGTCCCTGACGCCATCGCTGGCGCTTCCGACGCCCTCCAGGACCATGCAGATCGACGGCACCGGGATGGCGAGCGGCGTGTACTCGCTCCCCTCGGGGACCTTCATGTCGTCCAGCTCGAAGTCCTTGATCGGGGGCGTGAAGCGGTGGCAGCACTGGTCCACCTGGATGGGCGCCACGATGGGAGGCGCGCCCATGTTGTACGTCAGGATCTCGCACAGCAGGGGCACGTCGCGGTGCTTCGGGGTGAGCGCCACGCGGACCACGTTGTCCGAGCGGGCCATCACCTGGTTTCGATTAACGA